AAAATTTTCCACTCCTTAGGGGGGCGGCAGCTTCAAAAAGGTTGAGAATCACTGGTATACAATATTTAACAATATCCTTTTCTAATTTTGAATTAATTACTAGTCTATATTCCATCTTGATTTTGGCATCCTGGCCATCAGACAAATTCTGGCAGACAAGATGACCAATTATACCCATGTTTTTAAGAGTAGACCACATTTAGTTGCATTCTACACAATCAGAAGCCTTTCTACAAAATAGATGTCGTTTTGGAATTCCCTTACCTTTGCTGTTATCCATTAGATGTTAGCATTGTGATTTTGTGTGCCCTTGTCTCTTTTGAACCCAGCTTCTATATCTGGCAATTCTTGCTTAAGAAGCTTGGATTGCAAAATCTTTAGCACTGTCTTGCTAGCATGTCAGGTAAGTGCAATTGTTTGGTAATTTATATTGCTAATTCACACTGATAGTTAAATGCAAAAAAAAGTTGCTTTCCACAAAACCTCAGACAACAATGAGAGAATAATAATTAGTTTTTGCTGTTTGTTGTTCATGGACCATTCTGGAATAAATTTATTTCCTTCTTTTCCTGGGCTCAGTACTGTGGTTGTTTATCTATGAAGGCAGAGGAATATTAATTATTGCTTCTATCATTTCCTGTATACAGGTAGTCCTCAGCTTGCGTCTATTTGTTCAGTGACTGTTCAAAATTATGGTGGTGCTGAAAAAATGGACGTACGACCGGTCCTTGAAGTTCCAGCCATCACTGCACCCCTGTGGTTACGTAATTGTGATCTGGGTGCTTGGAGGCCCGGCTCATGATTATGACATTGCAGGGAGCTGCGGTCACATGATCACCATTTGCGACCTTCCCTGCTGGCTTCCCACAAGCAAAGTCAATGGGGAAGCTGGCACAGATGGTCACACATTGCTCCAGTAGGTCGCTCTCTTTTTCTCCAGCCCACAGCACCCCTTGCCTGTGCATGGCCTCTGCCAGCCCTTCCAGCTCCCCTGACTCACATGCAGCCTGCACCAGTCCTCCCAGGGCCCCCTGACTCATGCACAGCCTGCTCCAGCCCTCCCCCAGCCTCCCCTGACTTAGGTGCGGCATGCACTGGCTTTCCCAAGGCCTCCTCCGGCCACACCCCGCAGCAACCCCCCACTCCTTACTTGGGACTCCCACCTCTTCCTGCTTAACAACCCACAGGTCCTGGGGTACAACGGCAACTGGGACTGCTGGGATTGCCATTGCTTAGCAATGCAGTCACATGATGTCATGCTTTATGACCACATTCCTTAGCAATGTCAATCCCAGTCCCAATTGCCATCATAACCCAAGGATTATCTGTATACGTGCATATGTATCTTGTTGGCCTTTTTCCTCTGTGATAGATAGCATCCAGCATGAATGTCTACTTGGCTTAATTTTGTGGACCTAGAACAAAAAATGAGGGATCAATGTACTTGCTTCTAGCTCTCATTGTTCCCTATGTCAGAACATGAAAAACATTCTTAATTTTTATGCTATTGGTTCATTCAAGAGATCTTGAGTTTTGCTCAGTTGGAAAACAGAGAACTCAGAACAGAATATTCCCAGTGGGGCTGTTTGATCCTGAGCTGGGAACATTTTTTCTTCCAGATTTGTGCAGGAAGATTTTGCTAAAATATGATACAGACAATATACAGACAATCCAAGTTCTGGGCCAAGAAAAGTTAAATTCTGTGGATGTTTATATCAGTCATCCATACCTTTCTTATCTGTACCTGCAATGCTTACTATGTTGCCTACTATTGTTCTGTGGATAGAGGCAGCTATGGAGTGAATTAATGCCACAAACCCTTATTGTTCAACCATGCGGCTGATTTCTGTGATTTAAATAGGTATGTCTCATCTTTCCTGGATTTCTCAACTATAAACTTGCTTCAAAAAAGGAAAAGCATCTCAAAACCAAGCTTCCTGGGAAGCAGTATTTTATATACACTATCCTTTTTTTCTCTTTTTCCCCCTATGTTTGTACAGAATCACAGAATATATAAAGCACTCTGAAGTGAAAGTCCTACATTTGGAGTTTTTGCTTTTATTAGTAACCGGCAGCATTAAATAATACAAATTCTGCATCAAGAAAACAGAAACCTGTCCTTTTCTCAAATTTAATATTTCCTCTATTATCTAAATACTTTCAAGTGTCTGTTTTCCACTCTAAAGCAGATAAAACAGCTAAAAAGAAATCCAAGATTCTCAGCAAACTGTCTGCATTTTTCTTACGTATTCACAGAATTGCAATCTACATATAGCACTCAAAAAATCAATAACCCTATGCTGTTTTCATATGACATGGAAAATTGAAATGTGGTTCACTAATTTATAATTCAGGCAGTGTGATTTATATAAGCAAACAAATTAAGTTGTATGAACTGAATTCAAAATTATGATTTTGATAACCATTAGCTAGCATGTTGTGTTAATACAGTCTGTTTGCAATGATATAAGGCACAGATAGCTGTTTTCCTGTTAAATTTAATCTATTGGAGATGGCATGCTAGTAGCGGCCAAATTAGTAAACAAAACCATCATTTTCCTTCTCCCTTTTTCCTCCCTTTTTTGCCATTCAGGATAGAGACAATTTATTACTTGCAAAGAAGTGTATAAAGTAAAATGAGTATAGGTTGCACCCTCTAATGTTATATCTGTAAATTATATATTTTGCTATAATTGCCAATCATTCTTTATAAAATCTATTTTCTAACACTCCTAATGTTACATTGTAGGAATTCGCCCATACAAATGCGAGATCTGCAACAAAGCCTTTACTCAACGTTGTTCTCTGGAATCACATCTTAAAAAAATCCATGGGGTACAGCAACAATACGCTTACAAGCAACGGAGAGATAAACTGTATGTTTGTGAAGACTGTGGTTACACAGGCCCAACCCAAGAGGACTTGTATGTGCATATCAGTAATATTCATCCGGGAAGTGCTTTTCTGAAGAAAACTTCGAAAAAGCTCATAGCTGTTTTGCAAAACAAAGTGACATCTCCAATAGAGATAACCTCTAGAAAAAATGAGGATCTGTAATATTGCAATGGAAACAATAAAGGCTTGGTTATCTCAGCATACTAAACCCAGGTTACCAACACACAATTACTGTTTTCGGTACACTCTGTATCCAAAGAAATGAAGCATATTATGATATAATTTGATGGCATGGATCATGTAACACAGAAGACAGTGAATTGCTTCACTAAATATGCTGAATCATATTTAACCTATTCTAATGTGTTGTGAGAATCCAACCTAGATATCCACAGCAGAAATTACCTTTTGAGTTATTTCTCTCTCAAGGTTCTGTAGCCTTACTTTATTGGAGACACATAACTGCCTTATCAGAATGAAACATATTCCCCCAAAGGGAGCTCTCTAGAACTCAGTTATTTACGTGAACCTATTTCTTTAAACTCTTTTGTTATACAAAAAACAGTATATTATTATATAAAACCAGAAATAATAAAATAGAGAAATATAAAATGAATTGGATAATGATTCTCTTAAATTCTTGACTGTTTTTTGTAATCCCGCTGGCACAAACTGCAAAACGAAGACAAACATGCAAAAACAATACTTTTTTATCCTGTCTTTTTTTCTTTCTGCTTGCTTGCTATCAACTTGCCTTCTCATCTTACAGAAACTAATTTTTTATTTTGTTCTGGAATGTCAATCATTGTAATGATTATACTATTTGGTCTTGTTACCAAGGTCTGCTTGCTTCAGACAGCTCTGAAAGCAAAGATGCAGAAGCAAGAGTCAAAGGAAAAGGAGTGGGAACAGCCTGTTTTCCTTTTAACATGAAGAATATAAATTGTAACTATTTCTTGAGCACACTACTAAATCGCACGAAGTATTTGCCTCATAATAGTAGCTACCAATGTGACTGGCAAGAATTTCTGCTTTCAGTCAGCTAAAAACAGGTGTCAGAAATGAAAATCATTTCAAAAAGTTTACCTATGGATTATTTTTCCAGAGGCAAGAACAAAGGGTATTTGCAGTGGAGAATCAGCAAATGGAAGAGATGTGAAGCCTTACCCATGGTTGCTCAGTTTCCCTCCAAGATCATTTGTCCGCCATCTAGTTAAAATTCCTCCTCCACCACCATCACCACCCTCCCCACAAAATGGAAGGAAAGAAAAGCAATGGAATTAAATACAGTTTACTACAAACACATGCTTTACACAGTGCTGTTCTTCCCTTTCTCTTCAAACTCTTCCAAGCGATGCAGCCACTTGTTCCAGTACTGGGAGCATAGCTCGGAGTCCATAAAATGTGAATGTGCAGGAGAACCATCTTTGTAGGCAACCACAAGGAGTCCACAATTAACCTAAGAAGTAAAAGAATCAATTGCTCAGCAAACCATATGCAATTTTAGTCAAATGTTTGTTATGGCTATGTAGCTGAAATGCTTATTAAATAGTAGAAATGAGTATGCATGAGCAGCATTTAATTCTGCTCCAAAGTACTTTTTGTCCTTTTTGTCACAGGAGCTGACAAAATATAAATTACAGGTGAAACTCGAAAAATTAGAATATCGTGCAAATGTTCATTTATGTCAGTAC